AGAGGGCTCATAGCACGGCGAAGCTCTAAATGTTCCGATTGTCGTTTTAGTTTTTCGAAAACATAGAAAACGAATTTTTAAAGATTTTTGAAAACCATTGCCCCCACACGCTATGAAAAATACAAAGTGATTTATTTTTTTAATAAAAAAATTCTATTGCGAGCTAACGGAGATCAACCAATGGAGATCAGCTAGCAAAATCATGCCAACGGTTTTTGAAACGGAGATCAGAACAATATATAAAAAACAAGGATACAAAAATTGCTAATTAAAAGAACTGCTAAATAGTCAGTCTAAATTTGTCTGCAGAAAAAAAAACAACAGTTGGCAGTTATCAATTAGCCTCAATTTTGTATCGACTGGTAGCTTCGAATTAGTCTGAACTCTAAAACTTCAACTGAACCGGGGTGAATTATTACGCCATATTTGAATCAAAATTGAAGAAATTTTGAAGATTTTTTAAGCTTGCTGTTACGCTTAATTTATCTTAAAATAGCATACAGAGAATTCTATCGCAGATGGTAATGGTTATAGTTTTAAACTCATCTTTTGAGAATTGCGTTTTTTTCCGAAAAATGGTTCGTGGTAGCTTTCTCTATAAATAAGTGCATAGATATTCACCTACTGATCTCAACTTCTATTCCATTTTAGATGAGTCAAGATGAACCGACAGTTTCAGTTAACTTAGATCCCAAAAAAGCGCATACTTTTGAATTCGGCAACTAGTTTTTTTTTTGAATCTAACAAACGATGTGCCAACTTCTTGAAGTTTTCATGACTTTGTGGCTACTAAGTTACTGGTTTTTCATATACTGTTTCAATTATTTGCATACTAGAGAATTTCAATAAACTAGGACCCCGGGTGGACGTCCATACAAAAAATGCCTATAATACATTTTTATATATGGAGTCTATGGAAAAAATGCTTGTTCAAAATTTTCGTAGTAAGGAAAATATGATCATTTTGCCCTTTTCTTTCACTTTTTTCAGGCCATGATATTGTTTAAAACTGTGTGATGAGCATTTTTTTCATAGTATGAAAAGGTATGATCTCGAAAGGGTCTTGTTGCATTCTTATTTTGATTTTAACGTCATCTGAAAATGGCCAATGTCTTACGCCAATTTGAGGCAGTTTTAGGTAGTTTCCACTTGATTCAAAAGAGTACGGCTATTTTTGAACATAAAGTTTTTCGTAAAATTCCAAAAACCGTTCAAACGCTCAGCGGTTTCGAAATCTTTTTAGTTGCGCTAAAACGAGATCAATCCTACAATCCCCACATTTGATTATTTTATTGGGGATAAAACATTGCCCTCAATAACGTTCCATGGATAATAATCAATTATAAGGGATTTTAATGGTCTGTCTCCATGAAAATGTAAAGTAATTGATTATAACAATTAATAAGCGATTAAAAAAAAACAAATAAAGTAGAAATCAACTCAATCCATTATAATCAGTTATAACGGATTTTTAATGGAAACAGAAACTAATTTGTTTCTGTAAAAACAATGGATTATAATCGATTGTGTGGTCCCAAGGCGAAATTATAATTGATTAAAATGCCAACATTTTTGACATTAAAATCGATTATTGTCCATGAAACCCCGCAGAGGGTGTTTTTTTTGAAAATGACTTCGAGGGTAAAATTGATTGATCTGACTCAATGGATACAAAATTGTGATTTATATTTTACGCTATTAAAGGACTTAAATAGATATTTGGAATAAAAAATGTTTACCAGCTGTATGTTCAGCGCGCTTGTTTGAAGTGAATACTTTATGCGGTACGGTTGATCCATGAAACAACCTAAAAAGCATTTGATCGGCTCATTCAGAATCAAGACTTTAATTTCAAAAATTGTTTCGGAAAAACTTTCAAAAACATCAAAATCTAAAAAATAGTCTCAAAACGACTGGAAACATCTGAAAACTTGAACTTTCATCTGAAAACTTTGACTGGAAACACTAGTCGACCATATATGCAAAGTTTATAATGTAAAAAGTCCCTCCCATAGTGATTCCAACTGAGCTTTGTCTATTTTGAGTGAACGTTGCATCAATGATTACCGAAAAAAAAACTCGCGTTTGAATTTTTCTTTTACTGGCTCTATTTTGAAGTAACTATCCCTCAAATAAAATATGGCGTTGTGGCGCATCGTTAGCGATGGTGCTTACAAATCATATGACTGCGGGTTCAAATCGCACGCGGGCTGCAATTTCCAAGGTGATCTCTAGTAAGATAGCCATAGATTAGTAAACCTTATATAACCTGTGTAGGCCTGTGGCTGTTAACTTGAAAAACATCACAGCGTTTCTATGAAAGGTGTTTGCTTTTCCATGAATGCAGGAAGCATTTGCATCAATTTGAGGGCTCGATAGAGAGAGAAAGAGAGCTACTAAAAATTCGGGCAATCAAAAAGACGGAAACACGGGGTGATTGCGAAGGAGTTCCGTCAAAGAGGAAGAATGTTGAGCAAGAAATTTGAGCAATTTATTGAGTAAAAATTTATTTCTTGTGTTGAGCCAGAAATTTGAGCAAGTAATTGAGGAAGAATTTTGTTTCTTGTGTTGAGCCAGAAATTTAAGCAAGAAATTGAGCAGAAATTTTGAATTGAAAAAGAAATTTATTTCTGAAACATGCAGTAAATTTTTTAAAATTGGCTGAAAGATATTTTAGCAATTATTCATTAAGAGAGATTTCAAATTTAAAAAAATGCGATTGAAATCAAATTTTAAAAATGTTTGATACCAAAATCTTCAACCCTGTTTTGGCCATTTTGAGTTCAAGCTGCATCAATAGTGCAAATGACTGAATTGACTCAGTTGATGCAAATGACTCTCTTATAACTGGTCGCTAACCTTCAAAATGTCGCCTTTCCTGTAAGTTTAATTGCTTTTGCGTTTAAAGTAGGATGGGATTCTCCATTTGCATGATTCTGAATTCTTGAAACCAATTACTACTAATTAGGGCAAACAACAAAACGAATTTAGAAAATGGGAAAAATCGGCCGAATGTCTTGAAAGAAATCTTCTGATGTTAAAATTTTGTGTTGATAAGCGTGCATTCCTGGAAAAAAAGGATAGATAGGAGAGCAAACTTTAAGCGTGAGCAGAACGAGAAAAATTTTTATAAAAATTAAATAATTTATTTGGCGAAATCAGTTTACAACTTTTATAAATTGAGAGAATTTATATCAGTAACAGGCAAACTCAAAAAGCCCATTTTTCTTACTGTGGGAAATGTGGTTTTCTTTAAAAAAAAGCAATAGAAATATTAACTTACAAAATTATGTTTTTATGGGGGATAAATCAGGGGTGGAACTGATTTGAGGGAAACATTTTTCCTCCTCAGAGATTCAAAAAGTCCGCCCTTTGTTACTACTGTAAGATATACAATCTTGGCTGACTGAGCCTATAGCGTTTTTAGCGGCGCCCTGAGCGCCAATATATCCTAGAATATAAAAAGACCAATCACCTTTGATTCGTTTTTTGTAAAATAATCGTGATCTGAAAATTGCCAATTTGGCCAACTTGGAATAGTTGACGCCGCGATGAGGCATAAACATTTGAAACCAGACAATTGTGACAAAACAATCCTGAATTGGAAAAATGTATCCGACATTTGTTTACAGGTCAAGATTGTCCACAATTGTTCTGCACAATGATTTTTTTGAGATGACGTGACTTTTAATGTTTTGTTATTTTTTTGCGTTTGAATGATCGTTTCACACTTAGATTCTATGCGTGCCAAATAACCATACAAATTTTCGATCGCAATTTCGGCATTTTTCTGTTCATCTTGGAACTATTTGGCAAGCCTTGAAAATGATGGGTAACAGGCGTTCACAAGTTTAACGAAGTTGCCATTCCAACCTTCAAAGGCACTGTTGTTTGTCGGACAACCCGGCTATTACACATTGATGACATCTCTTGCTTTCAATATTGCTGTGTTTGTTCCTGAAAGTCGACCAATGTAATTACTCTAGAAAAATGAAGACTGGGTGAAATGCCTTAGAACGTGTCTTCTAAACAGGTTCAAAAGCATTGAAAACGTCTTTTTGAAGTATGGATATGCATCATGAGCTATCATTTCGTTCTTTTTTTTATATAAAAACAGATTTGACTTGTTAACACAAATTTGAGAGCAGTAAAACTGGAGCTAGTATCTTTCGCGCCTAAGTTGCACATAAGCATCAATCAGACAATAATTTTGCTGGTATGTGTAAATGATTTGATTCTTGTTGTAATTATTTCTAATTTGGTCTAAATGCCCAGTTGCTTGGCCTTATCGAATTAATCCCTCTTACTGAGAGTATATAAAAACGATCCGGTTTTTTTTTTTGGAAAATTTTGGCACAATGGTCTGGGACACAAGTTTCCAGACACGACTCGCGATATGTTTTTGCGCTATTAACAAGCCAGCGGATAGTTAATCCGTCTTAGAACTCGCTCTTAATTAAGTTGAGACATACAATTTGGTACACTTCATATTCTGCGTAATTCGAAATATAAAACTTTGAACTTTACATAGCGTTTGGGGATGATTTGAAAATCTTTTTTTTTTAAACTTTTTTTGAAAGTTTCATAAGATTGTTGTAACGAACATTACTCTTTAGTTTTTTAAAGGCCGTCGGATCATTCAGGGCTTCGCCTTGATCCGAGCAGTCTTGTTTCTTTTTAAAATGTGGAAAAATTCATTCCAGCCATTAGTTGAAATTCATGTTTCAATGAAATCTAGTTGGGCGGTATTGATTGGTCTACTTCTATTCAATTTTCCTAGGACATGGATCAATTTTAGTCAAAAAAATCAATCCTTGGCAGTAATTTAGACGAGTACTTGATGTCCTTAAAAATCCATGAGTTATAGATTAAGTTTTTAAAAGTCACTGTCAAAAAGCCTCTCAGTTCAAACTTCGCGTATCGACAGAATATAAATACAGTCCCTATTATGTTTTGCGTCAGATCGCCATTGTTCAAAGTGCGTCAGAAGATAAAAAGAGGGCTATTATAGATATATCTTTACTTATCTTACTAGTTATAACTAACTTTACTCTCAATAACAAAACGAAGCAAACGCACACTTTGTATACCTTTTACGTTTATCGGCGCAAATACGCGATTCTCTCTAAACGGTTCAGTTGTTCAGTTCTGTGAGTTTGCCTAAAAAGGAGCGCAAACTTCTTTTACCATTACGAAGCTGCAGCAATCTTAAATCTATACCATAACCGTCTACGTTTCAGCCGTTTTATTGTAAAGCGTCTTTTTACATTTTATCAGTTTTTCAAAGCAGAATTGAGTTGGAATTCAGCTTTCTATTTTAATTTTTACTCAAGCATATTTAAAAGCGTATATTTGGAAGTGAACAAAAGGACATTTTTGGTTCCTGTTTTTTTTTCAATCCATTTATCAGTGTTACTTTTCGCCACAAGTAAAAAAAAATACAGCAAAGCTGAGACACGCTTAGCATTTTTCTTTTTTCACTGCGAGGAAAAAAGTAGCTTTCATTTTACATATCTATCCATCACAACGCTTTTATTTTGGGCTTGTTTCCTGGGCAATCGTGTACACGTAATTCAGCAGACTAAATTTAGACTAGACTCAGGTAAATTTGGACTAGACTTTAGCATTAGAAAAAGCTTAGAAAAAAATCAGACTTCATTTCATTTTTCATAGTCATTCAACAAACAAACTTGGCTTTACGATTCAGAAGTTTATCGGACTACACTGTTTTTGAACGGTTCTGCAACTTAAACATTTAGAGAATTGCAAAAAGATAATTAAAAAGAACAAATGACCTTTTTCAGAGAATTTTTGCATGCAAATCTAATTTTTCAGATATAATTAGTAGCAAAAAGTTCGGACAGACAGAATTAATTAAAAAGAGCAAATGATCTTTTTCAGACAATTTTTGCATGCAAAAGCTAATTTTTCAGACTGAAAGTTTGTCTCAATGTCACTTAAAAATTCAAATTTGCATGCAAAAATTGCTGCAAATCGGCAGATTGCTCTTTTTAATTATTTCTGTCTGTCCGAACTTTTTGCAACTCTGTATAGAAAGTAAATCTCAATGTCACCTAAAAATTCAAAATTGCATGCAAAAATTGCTCTAAGTTGGCATATTTCTCTTTTTGATTTTTTCTGTCTGTTCGAACTTTTTGCCATTCTCTGTTTAACAAATTGCTCGCTTTTTGCAGCTTTTCGATATATCTTCTCTTGATTCCTTTGTGAAGTTACGAGTTTCGAGTGCAACTAGCCGAAAAGGATGTCTGGTCTTGTGAAAGCGAAGAAGTACGACTGGAAGGACTCGAACATGGCGCTGTTCGGGTCTGAGACGGAGAAGAAAATCAAGCAGGAGTCGGCGGAGACGGAGGAAGCGTGGAACGGTGCGGGGGCCAAGGAGGGGCTTCAAATCTGGAGAATCAACAACTTCAAGGTCAGATTAATTAATTTTTTTCGGGTTCTGTTCAAGTATGATAGTTGGGGGGTTATCTTTTCTATTTTCTGTTAATGGCCCAAATTATCAAACTTGTCAATTAGGCTTGTTTGCTTTGAAAACACTGAGACTTCTTTTTGCTTTCGATTTGCTTTTTTAAATTATATTTTCAACCAATCAGATTCGAACATCTTGATCACACTTGCGCCAAAGCAAAAAAATTGTTTTTGGGCCGTATAACAGAAAAGACCCTAGTTGGGTCCCAGGAAAAAGCAATTAAAATGGGTCACACAACTTTTGTGAAAATTTCAAAACACAAGTCATCAAATGCAAACCAAGTTTTCGAAGATTTTAGAGCCTAAAAAATTCTTCAGGGACCCGTCTAAATTTAAGGGACCCAGCTGTCATACTTTCCCTGGGGTTCATCTCGGGTTGTGCAGGATAGTCAGGATAGTCTACTAGTAAGAGCACTTCTTCTGGGACTATGAAGATCCAGGGATCGAACCCCCGAGGGAAATAATTTTGAGAATTGGTCTGAATAAAAAAACACTGAGCATATATATATATTCCTTACTTTCTTCGAAAGTCGGAACAAAAAGAAGCTAGAAAGAAATCAAAGCAGAAGGAATCTAATTGTAAGCCGGAATTTAAACCATTGGGCTGATAATTGATTTTTGGTCGCCTTGACATTTCAAACAAGTAGTCCGAGAAAACTTTAGTCTTAACTAATCCGTTTTCAGACTAGATTTGTCAAAAAATACTCAGAGATCAAATTACACAGCATTTTTGAAGATATGTTCACAAATTATTCGCCCATATTTGCAACGTCAAACCCACTCTATCTTGAAAAAAAAACAAATGAAGAATAACTTTTTTATTGATTTTTTTTTACCATTTGAACTTCTCAACTTAAGTTGATCTGGCCTAAATTTTTGTATGCTAGTTGCACGACAACTGGTTATCCTTGCTTCTGTTTTAGATTTTTTGATTGGAGTCAAAATACACATTTAAGAGTCAAAATATTACAATTTATGCATTTACTTCAGCTTAGTAATCTCTCTGGTTTTATTTGTTTGGACAGTCATCTCTGACCAAATTTAAGGTGCTTTTGAATTTAAACTCGTTTCATAGAGAAAATAAGGATCGCAAATTTCTTAGCCATCATCACAAAGTTTTTGATTGAAATGCCTGATTGCAAATCGTGCCAAAAGAGTTCGTTAGGCGAACCGCGCTTCCGTAAAAAATAAAAGGATGATTTTTTATCTCAACTATTTGCTTGACTACATTCATAATGTCTATCTGCGGCTCCATTAGTTCCAAGCACTATGCTCTTAAAGTTAATATTTGTAATTTGTTCTTTTCCTTGAGCACTAAATGGCCCTAAAACGCAAATGTAACGCTATTATTTACCTTTGATAGAAGAAAAAATAGACAATATTTTGAAATTTTTAAAATAAAGAAATGTTTGACATTGCAAATGCAGCAACAACTGACTGATAGGGACATCGCCGTTTTTTATGTTTGTTGTGGGTTGAAATAAAGAAGCATGTACAATCAGGGGTCAAATAATTTGCATTCTTTCATTTTGAAAAAAGTAAATGAAAATTTTTTTTTGGTTTTTCAGCAACTTTGAAAAGTAAGTGTGGGAAATGTGACATGGCCGTTGAAACTATTTAAACGGAATGTTTTGATAAAAGCAAAAATAATAGGATAACTAGTTTCAGAGGTGTTCTTCTTGTGGAAACATCCTCTTAAACAAGATGAAGACTTTAGTGCACTCCAAAGTAATTTTTTGAGACGCAGATGAACCTGTCTTCTTTCTTGTATTGCGCGCATACAATGAATTGGTGGAAAAAAATTTCAAGACTTGCAGGGGCGGATCTAGAATTTTCTCGAGGGGCGGGTTGATTTCCAAAAAAAGTAGAGAAATATTTCTCGAGCTTTTTTTTAGGTCGAGCAAATTGATTTTCCGAGCTCTCCCATAGCACTAAAAAGACCCTGTTTTGGTCAAACTTTCTGCGCCGCAGGCAAAATTTTAAAAAACTGGCCAAGAAGGCGTTTTAAGGCACTTTTTCGAACATTTTGACCAAAGAATTGCGTTTTTTGGCGCGCTGAGTGGGGAAGCGTCCGACAGTATCTGCCCCTGAAGCGTCCCCCTAAATCCGCCCCTGAAGCCTTGTGTCTCTAAACAAAGATGGCGGTTTTTCGTGTGTCTCTAAACAAAGATGGCGGTTTTTAGCGTTTAAGAAATTTCATTGTTCTAGTTGCCACTGCCTTAGTAACTTTAAAAGTTTTAAGCTAGCATAGCTGTTGATGGTAACTTTATACATCGGTTGGGTTTCTGAAATCTTCAGAAATTCCCAAAAACATCTGTTATGTAGATGTATTTTAAAAATTCAAATATCATCTTCTGTATTTTAAAAATTCAAATATCAATCCATTTCTTTCATTTGTTGTTTTTACGCAGTAAAAAAAAACAAACAAGCACATTAACTACCCAAAAAGTAGACGTGATTTCATAAATTCAACCTTTTTGTTGGTTGACGCAGATGCTTTGTTGGACAAAAAAATTATGATTGACTGGCCAATTAACGTCTCCAAAACAGTTGTTTTATCAGGTTTACCCAGCCAAATAATTGAAAAAAATATCATAACCAAATTTCATAGTTTAAATGTTACTTTTATTTAGTTGCTGAAAAAAATTACGTGGAGAAACTTGTCGTCCATTTGCTATGTTGAAAACAAAAAGTTGCAGTTTATTTAACCAGTGACGTAAAAGCTTTCGATTAGAACTTTTTTTGGAGACCTATGTTATTGAGTTTTCGTGGGATCGTTTTTTTTGTTCTGAATATGATGCTTGTTTGAGCAAACTCATTTTGTTTTTTGTTGTAAGGTTTTTTTCATTTCTGTTAAACAGAGCACCAATTACATATATACCCCAGTTGTTTTTAACCAAACTTTTCTTCCAGTTTGCTCAAAATTTTTTTTCCTCATGAAAATTTAAAAAAAATTATAATTCATTTGAGAGAAGCATCAGCTGGTTGCTGCGCAATTAGCATGTCCTTCCATACAATTTGATCTTTTCGGGGGGAAAATAAATTAGATTTTTTTCATCTTAGTTTTTTTGGATGTTATGAGAAAGAGCGATAGAATCTAAAAAGCGCTTTGAACTAATTTTTAGGCAATAAATGATTATAGTCTCACATTGTTTTGCTAAAAATGACGTCACTACGACTTCATGACGTCTTTTGAATGCGGGCCTGAAAACCAAGATTTTCTGAAAACTTCTTTCGGAGGCAACTATTAAGCTAGCAATACTATTTACGTCGGACAAAACGCTTGCTAGGAATAAAGGGTCCTTTCTACTTTCTATCTTAAAAAGTAAATCTAAAATTCGCTGAGAAATATTTTATTAAAAGAAGGTTAGTATGAATTTACAGCAAGTTGCCTTTTGACTCAATATTTATTTTTTACGGTGAGATTGGAGATATTATTCTCTGAGATTGAATATTATTTTTGAGAAGGGTTGGGGTGGTTGAGGAGAGTTGTGGTCCGAGCTCTCCCGTAGCACTAAAAAGACCCTGTTTTGGTCAAACTTTCTGCGCCGCAGGCAAAATTTTAAAAAACTGGCCAAGAAGGCGTTTTAAGGCACTTTTTCGAACATTTTGACCAAAGAATTGCGTTTTTTGGCGCGCTGAGTGGGGAAGCGTCCGACAGTATCTGCCCCTGAAGCGTCCCCCTAAATCCGCCCCTGAAGCCTTGTGTCTCTAAACAAAGATGGCGGTTTTTCGTGTGTCTCTAAACAAAGATGGCGGTTTTTAGCGTTTAAGAAATTTCATTGTTCTAGTTGCCACTGCCTTAGTAACTTTAAAAGTTTTAAGCTAGCATAGCTGTTGATGGTAACTTTATACATCGGTTGGGTTTCTGAAATCTTCAGAAATTCTCAAAAACATCTGTTATGTAGATGTATTTTAAAAATTCAAATATCATCTTCTGTATTTTAAAAATTCAAATATCAATCCATTTCTTTCATTTGTTGTTTTTACGCAGTAGAAAAAAAATCAAACAAGCACATTAACTACCCAAAAAGTAGACGTGATTTCATAAATTCAACCTTTTTGTTGGTTGACGCAGATGCTTTGTTGGACAAAAAAATTATGATTGACTGGCCAATTAACGTCTCCAAAACAGTTGTTTTATCAGGTTTACCCAGCCAAATAATTGAAACAAATATCATAACCAAATTTCATAGTTTAAATGTTACTTTTATTTAGTTGCTGAAAAAAATTACGTGGAGAAACTTGTCGTCCATTTGCTATGTTGAAAACAAAAAGTTGCAGTTTATTTAACCAGTGACGTAAAATCTTTCGATTAGAACTTTTTTTGGAGACCTATGTTATTGAGTTTTCGTGGGATCGTTTTTTTTGTTCTGAATATGATGCTTGTTTGAGCAAACTCATTTTGTTTTTTGTTGTAAGGTTTTTTTTTCTGTTAAACAGAGCACCAATTACATATATACCCCAGTTGTTTTTAACCAAACTTTTCTTCCAGTTTGCTCAAAATTTTTTTTCCTCATGAAAATTTAAAAAAAATTATAATTCTTTTGAGAGAAGCATCAGCTGGTTGCTGCGCAATTAGCATGTCCTTCCATACAATTTGATCTTTTCGGGGGGAAAATAAATTAGATTTTTTTCATCTTAGTTTTTTTTGATGTTATGAGAAAGAGCGATAGAATCTAAAAAGCGCTTTGAACTAATTTTTAGGCAATAAATGATTATAGTCTCACATTGTTTTGCTAAAAATGACGTCACTACGACTTCATGACGTCTTTTGAATGCGGGCCTGAAAACCAAGATTTTCTGAAAACTTCTTTCGGAGGCAACTATTAAGCTAGCAATACTATTTACGTCGGACAAAACGCTTGCTAGGAATAAAGGGTCCTTTCTACTTTCTATCTTAAAAAGTAAATCTAAAATTCGCTGAGAAATATTTTATTAAAA